CTGGTTGAGGTAGAATTTGTGACTTTTTTCCACTGTGATGTTGTTCTTCGTTCCTCTTCTTTGCACTTTGCTGTGTTTTTTGGATGGAAGTCATTATAAATAGACCATATTAACGAATGGGGAATTCTGCTCCACCTCCGTAAGGGAATAATATCAACTAAATTCTAATTCTACTTAGAATTCCTCTGTTGAAAGAATCTATTTTTCCCTGTTTACTTTTTCCATCATTTATTTATATTAATATGGACATAGATTTTTTTTCCTTACCGGTTTTATTGATACTTTGGTTGATTGTGGTGGGGATTGAACCAAGGTCCTTGCATGTTAGTCCAGTGCTTCATTACTCAGCTATATCATTCACTAGGATTCATGTATATTTACTTCGATGTTTGTGTTGTAATTCAACATCCCTTTTGTTGCTCACAATTTTATTCTGATAAGTTAAAACAGGCTCAGAGAAGTTCTGCAGTAAGAAAGCTGTTTAATTTATTTAATCCAGTGTTAATTAAACTTACATGATAATGAAACCCATTTCCATGTTCACTACTTTGGGAACTACTTTGGTACCTATTTCTGAGACAGTAGTAGAAAAGAGTAATATTCAGCATGATGTTTGTAAATGCAAAAGCTTTCTTGTGAACTAATACTAGTAAGCACATGGAGCTCTAATTGTATGCCAGCTACCATGTTAATGTTTTATCCATTACGGTCCTCTGAGTTAAGTCACTCTCATGGCCTTATGTAAGTCCAGCTTCTCAGAGCTAATATCCCAGAGAGCTGGGATTTGACCTGTGCAGTCTGGCTCCAGAACTCCCTGATGATATTCAATCTGGATCTAGACCAAGCATGTTTGGGAAAACTCAAGATACATCTTACAGTTGAACTTACCCTGTTTTCTACCTATCTAGGCCCCTTTGAAAAAGTGACAATTCTATTAATTTTACATTACTGCAGTCTTCTTTCCTTCCTTATTGATCCTTTGGCCTTCTGAATTGTTACCCCGTTTCTTAACACTCCTAGCCTTGCGAGTGGAGCTGAAATCCCTCACAGTAGCTTGCAAGGTTATGCATGACCTTGCCCCTCTGTGCTATTCCCTTTGTCATCTTCTTGCCTTCTCACCCTCCTTCCCTTTTCCTTCTCTCTGAGCCTCCATGGCCAGGCACGTCTACATTTGTCTTTGAGCTCCTGCTTAACTTCCTTCACTTGCTTCAGCAGAACTTTGCTTATGTCATTGCTTCCATCTGAAAGTGCCTCCCCCAGTTCTGTGTATTTCTGGCTAACTTTTGTACCTCATTTAGATGATTAGGTTCTGCTGTTTTCTGCAGGAGGCCCTTTGACCCTCACATCTCAAGTAGTCCAACAGTTTTTCTGTGTCTAGCATCCTTCACCCAAAAGATGCCCTGTACTTCCATACCACAGTGCGTGAGAGTTCTCTGCATCACTGCTGCAGCTTCTGTAGTCTTGCTGAGAGTAGTGGTTGTCTTTTCACCACAGTGTCTCTGAACAGTGCCTTGCTCTTGGTAGATGCTCCAAAAAGAGTGTAGGATCCTATAAAATATTCATACCCTTTAATCTGGTAATTCTACTTTTAGAGCTTTATATAAAGGAAAGAAATCAGAAACAAGAAGTTTATGTTCATGATTATAGGTAGGACCCAAAAAGAATCTAAATGAATAGTAGTAGAGCTTGCTGTTAATGTAATACAGTGTCTTGAAAATATAATACTATACAGGTATGAAAAGTATAATTTTTGAACAAATTCAGTGAACTGGGACAATTCATATGATATAATCATATATAAATGTATGCAATTATACATTAATAAAAAGTCTGTATGTATATATGTGTGTCTTGATTATAAATACACATAGAAAAAAAACAGTTGGTTTTCTTTTTAGTGAGGAATTTATGAATGTTTATTATTTTATTCTCTACATATTCTGTTTTTTAAATTATCTAGAATAAAAGTGTCGTTTTTATAAGTAGAGAACAATTACTAAAATACTTTCACATATATAGAGTACAATTATCTTGTTTTATTTTTTTCTTGTTTTACTTTTTATCAAGATAATGACTTTAGTTCTATAATTTCATAAGATTTTTAAACATGCTATATGTTTATTATGTGGTTTATAAATATTTATTTGCACTCATTATTATAAAAAGTTAGCAAGGCTACCATATCTGTTTAAAAGATTTTAATACAATTTTGATTTTTAAAAATAAATATTTTGCTTTTAATGGCTTTTTTTTATAAAACTCTTTAAATTCTTTGAGTCATACCATAGATTCCAATTTTTAGGTAAATTGATTTGAAGCAATAATTTCATTCAGAAAAGTTATGGTTTGGGTAAAACATAAATGGCTTCCTGTTTAAACACTATAAATGGAAAAGGCCACTCGTTTTCCTGTTAAATAACATTTTAAGGCTTCGAGTTTATTTTGTAAGTCTGTTGGGTAGGAAGCATTACTTTTAGTTAACTTATTTTGGTGCTAGTGTACTTTGAATTTTTATTTGCTAATAGCATGACCATGTTGTTTTCTTGCGTGTTTCTTTTTGAGAATTAGAGCTTATGTATTCAACTCCACAGACAGGACCCGAACAAAAATAAGTATCCATAAAACTGTAGCCAGGCGAGTCTTCAAATTTATCCAATTCAAATTCTGGCAAGTGTTCATCTGCTTTCTTCTTTTGTTTGAGGATCTCTGGAGCCAAGGGACTCATGACCTCAGTGTCTGAGGATGGCTGTAAGTTCAGAGGCAGCCTGGAGTATATAGTGAGTTCAAGGCCAGCCTGAACTATGTAATGAAACCTTGTAAAAATAAAATAAAATAAATAAAATAAAATAAAAATAAATAAAATAGCAATAAAACCCCAGCTATGAATAATCAGAACTGAGAAAAACTTGTCAGTTTTTGAATTATTGTTATCATAATTGTGTTATTGTTCAAAGCAATTTACATGTATTAACATCTTCAATTTTTATAACAACCATTTAAAAGAACTATTGTTATTATTCTACTTTATTGAATGACTACAATCATCCTTTATATCTGAGGTTTAGAACTTAGTTATTAGGGGCTGGGGATTTAGCTCAGCGGCATAAGCGCCTGCCTTGCAAGCAGGCAGTCGTGAGTTCGATCCCTGGTACCGATAAAAACGAAAAAGACAAAAAAAAAAAAAAAAAAAAAGAACTTAGTTATTATTTTAACTGGGCTTCAGTGAATTACAAATAACCTCTAGGCATAATTTAGTGAATTGAAAAAAATTAATAAAGCATTTTATCCTGGTGCTGAAAAGAATAGCGTATTACAATATTATATATATGGGTAATAAAATCTATAACTTACTAATAAAATGAATTTATAAATTCCAGTTTATAAAATGTAGAACAGAAAACAAGGTAATCAATACTGGTAAAAAAAAAAAACAAAACAGTAAGACAAATCTAGATTGTAACACTTTCTGAAACTAGCCTGGTCTTTCCAAAATAATCAATATCACAAAAATAGATAGGACAGAGAGACTTTATATTAAAAACAACCAAATGCAACTCATGAATTATGAGTGAACTCTGAACTTAAAAAAAAACCTATAAAAGATATTCTATAGGCAACTGAAAAACTTGGAATATAAACTAAATATTAAACAATAATGTGAAATATTATGAGTAATTTTCTAGGTATGTGTGTTGGTTAGAATTATCCAGGGGAACAAAATCTGAAAATATATACAGTATATATATATATACAGTTATACATGGAGGTTTATTCAATAGGCTTAATAGTCAGAAGCAAGATAATGCACAATGGCTATGTGCATGTTGGAGATCTAGAATATACAGTAACTGCCCACTTTCAGAAAGCTGCAGACCAAGAGGAATCAACAGTCAGTTCTAGATTGAAGGCTTGGAAGCTTATTGCAGATTTGAAAGACTAAAGAACTACAGTCTGCTGTCCATAGGTGATGGTAGTAGCAAAACATGGCACCCACTAAAGCAGAATGGAGATTTTCCAATAGAGGCTGACTTCCTCTCCCTATTTCCCCTTTCATTCCCTCTGGGCTAAAAGATATTGGATGGTGCCACACACCATCATGGTCAGTCTTCTGACCTCACTTTGCTGAGCTACATTCCAAATATCTCTGCAGACACCCCACAGATACACCCAAAACCGTGTGCTTCATAGCCTAGTCAAGTTGACAATCATGATTATGGATAACGGTGTGGGAATGGCGTTGTGGTAGGTTTTTAATAGAATGAGTAGCAAACATTTATAAAATGTTCTCACTTACATTTTTCTTTTACTGCTATTTCTTTATAGTGTTTATCACTGTATAACAATGACATTTTTTTTACTCATTACCAACCACAACTAGAATGTCAGTTCTGTGAGGACTGAGATTTTCCATTATTCCTTGCTTATGTTAGTTAACTGACATTATAACAAAATACCCTGGATAAGTAGATATACAGAAAAGAATTATTCTGGCTCACAGTTTTAGAAGTTTTAATGCATAATTAGGCAAAGATAATCGTTTAAGATCTGTGCTGGCTGGCAATGGTGCTGGGTGGCCATAGAAGAAAAGCATATGGCAGAACAAAATCACATAACCTCGTGGCCAGGAATCAAAAGAAAGAGCAAAGAGCTAGGTTCCACAATTCCCTTCAAAGACATGCCTCCCGTAACTTAAGGACCTTCCACAGCTGCACCTCACACAGTTTATACCACCTCCCAGTAGCACCACCCTGGGACCAAACCTTTAATACATGAGCTGTTGGTGGGGATATTCCATATCCAAACTGTGCTACTGCTTAATTCACAGCACCAAGCCTAGTACTGTCTGGCACACAGAGGGGAATAATTAATATTTGTCCAGTGAACAAATAAGGATAACCAATTCCAACCAGCCTTGTCATTTTTGTGTAATTCATGATTTTAATTTATTATTAGTTTGGATATTATTGACAAAAACAATAACATCATTCCTTATGTTTCAGGGAAGTTGGGAAAAAAGAATTTTGAAGAGTCTAAATAGTATGTGCACTGAACTGAGTATCCCACTGGCACGGAAGGTACAAATTTTAATGTTCTATGCTTAGCTATTTTATTGTGAATTTAACTACTGAAAAGTGTCATGAGGTTGTATAACTGTCAGGCACATTATTCCCTTTTTACTATTATATCATCTTGCTTTAAAATAAAATCTTTAAATGCTAATTGTGTAGGTATAGTTTATATAGATTTCCATTATGTGTAGCTCAATGACTTGTAATAGTTTTTTGAGAGCAGAACTATAGAATGTATATATAGATTATTTAAACATTTGACTATAAAGATAATAAGTGCACTTTAAAGATTTCAGTTACCATTAGTCTCCTTACATTTTAGTTAATTGAGCAGTGACACTCTCTTCGCCAGGCGCCCTGTGATGCATTTCTGAGCTTGTTGGATGGGGTAGAAGATATAATATGTGGCTGAGGAGCAGTTTTTCTTTGTGAAATTTGCTGGATTGTCCAGATCATCTACCTTCTCTCCTTGCACTCATTAACACCATATTCCAACTGAGCTACTGAGCTATTGTAACAGTTAAAAAATTAAAATTTAATTCCAAAAAATTTGCTATATTTAACAAAATTATTTTCCCCAGTGTTACAGCAGAGTAATTAAACTTTATTTATGTTGCTAATCTTCAAAAGTGAAACCAGTTTTAACATTATCTTTTTTAGAGACCAGTTGGACAACAGAAAGAACTTCTTAATAAATGGAATGAAATGGGAACCGACGAACCAGGTATACAAAGAACTTTCTTCACAGTGTAGCTGTGGAAAAGAATTGCCTTCTTAACGGTGGATCCAAAGTAACTAAATAAGCAGTTCTTTTGGGAAGACTGCAAGTTTCCCTCCAAATTAATTTCCTGTCATCTGTTTTATTTCCTTAAACTTCTACTTTGCAGTTTAAGAATTCCTTTTATCTCTGTTCTTCCACTGTTCTGAGAATATTTAAACCATCTAACCTTTTATAAAGCAGCATTTAAAAACGTTTTTATACAGAGTAAGTAAAATTTATTTAGTAGATTGCTAAGTCTCTTCTAATTAAGGTAAACATTTTGCAGGCTTAATTACATTGAGATATGAAAGATAGCTTAAAAAGTGAAAAATAAATTTCAAGAGATTAAGATGTTTTTAAGAATTTTTCAGTTCAATGAAAAAATCTACTCAACATCAAAAACTGGATTTTATTTAATATGACAAATAGAAGCTTATATGGACATGTTCGTAACTTCACTGCTACTAAAATGATAATTTGGTAGACTAGGCAAGATATAAGTGCCATATGATAGGAGCAGTGTGCAGTTGTAATTCCAAGGTAGAGCAGTTTAACTCAGCTGGAAATTCACAAACAATTCACTGTTTGTGTTCTGAGAACTTTAAGAATTTTCATATGCCAGGGATTTAGCTCAGCAGCATAAGTGCCTGGCAAGTGCAAAGTCATGAGTTCGATCCCCAGTACCAAAAAAAAAAGAATTTTCATATGGAAGCTTTGCATTATATTCACGTTGTTTTGTCGACTCAATTACAAATTATTGATCACAGTTTATAAACAGTAAACTCTAATTTTCTTCTATAATATATAATCTAGGCAGTTAAGGGGAATGTCTGCACTTTTGTGTTCTTAATATTTAAAACACTGACAATCAGTATCCTGCAAATGTTCAAATTAATCTATGCACAGAAACATAGGAAAGAGGCTTCAGACATTAACTGATTTTTTGTTTTAATTTATCTTACTGTAGATTTAAGCCTTTTCCGACCTGTTTATGCACCTAAGGATTTTCTTGAGGTAGGTTCATTTTGATGAATATACTAATGAAGAAAAATGTGAGAAACACAATGATGTAAGACTATCTCCAAGCAGAGAAATCATTATGTAAAATATCTTAGATCCATTGAAGCAGAAAAACATCAAATTTTTGTTGAAAGCTTCTCTTAAAAATATACTAGGATATGGGAAAATCAGAGGGGGATAAATCAATATGAAAGATTTTTTTTATCTAAAAACACAGTGGCTTGTGTAGCCTGTGGCTTGTGTAGCCACAGTGGCCTGTGGCTTGTGTAGCCTGTGGCTTGGCTTATATAGGGACTTGGTAAATCTTTTTTTTTTCCTGTCTCCTATTCATTTAGACAAGACAAGATGAGGGTCTGAACTAAGAGAACAGCATTGGAAAAAGAAAGAATCTGACAGATTTGAAGATTTTTAGGAGGATCTGAGAACTGATTAGAGTCTGAGATAATAGATAATAATGGTCTCAAAGCATCTATATTTGGACAGAGATTACTTTCCTTGAGAAAGAAAGTACAGGCGGATGAACAGGTCCATTGGTAATATCGACCTATTAGTAAGGATGAGTTGAACTAAGTTGATGAGGCAGTAGCAAACATTCAAGTGAAATCTACAGCATTGAAACTCAATTTAATTCACCAGCCTTGCATTCACTCTTTCTCTTAGACCCTCCATATCATCCTGCCAGTTTACATTTAAAATGTTACCCAGAAGCTACTTGTCATCACCTTACCGCAACACCCAAACTACCATATTTTCTTGTTTGGACTATGTAATACTCTCCTAACTGGTATTCCTACTTCTGCCATTATTCACCTAGATTCTATTCTTAGTACAACTTCCAGAAGAAGTCTTTAAATTAATTCAGCATGAATCATTCCCCCTTTACCCAGTTCTTTCTCTTCTCATTCTTTAAAGCCAAAGGCATGACATGTTTCAAAGTACCTATCTGATCTGAGACTCCATTACCTTCCTAAGTTCATTCTTGTTACTTTTTCTCTTGATTTGTTCTACTTTGGCTGTATTAGTCTCCTTGCTTTTACTCATGTCTTTAACAGCTCTGTAACTAATAGCTAGGACAGTGTTTAGCACATGCTCAATGAATATTTTTTGAGTGAATGAATAGCAGTGAATAAATGCCCCACATTCATGTTCATTCATTCTCTCTCTCTCTCTCTCTCTCTCTCTCTCTCTCTCTCCCTCCCTCTCCCTCCCTCCCTCCCTCTCTCCCTCCCTCTCTCTCCCCCTCCTTCCTTCCCTCTCTTCTTCCCTCCCTCTGTTGTACTAGAATCAGATCTGGGACACACCTACCCCTGAGCTACATCCTCAGGTCTTTCTATTTATTTATTTTATTTTGAGGTTGGGCTTCATTGAACTGCCCAGCTGGACTCTTAACTTACCATTCTCCTGCTTTAGCTTCTTTGTGTCTTTATTGAACCTGTTTTCTCTGATGCCAGTTTTGTTGACACAGTTTCCTTTAGAAATTTATCAGGTCTTTTAGAGTTGTAAATACCCTCCTTTTAATTAAAAGATATTTAGTTGGTAAGAAGTAACTTTTATGGTAATACTTTTACTTTAGCTTATTAAAAGTTTGTCACACACTCATTTCTAGTGCTAATGGGGTGAAATTTCATGTAATTTTTATATGGTTATCATGTTTTCTACTTTTTTTAGTGGAATTGGTGTTTGGGTTTTTTCTTTTACTTTCTTCACATTTTTTTATTAGTGCCTGTTGGTTATGCAGAGTAATGGGTTTCATTTTGGCAGGTTTGTAAATGCATTCACATACTTGAATCATTTCCCGCCCCCCAGATACCCCTTTTGCCCTGTTCTCCTACCTAATTTTTCCTCACTGGTTCCTAACATTCTGTGTCCTTGAGAAGTATTGAGACCTTTTTCTTTAATGCAGGAACCTTCTCTACACCTTCATATTCCACAGTGAGGATTTCTGTATATCTAATATTTTCTCTTTGTTATTGTCTGTGTAGTCCAGTTTCTTCTCTATTTTCTATTTTTTTGTGTTTGTTAGTTTCCCATGGAGTCTAATCCTTTATTTATGAAATTAGGTTATGTTATGCTCTTCTCTATTAATATACATTTAATCTTGTTGATTTTTAAAGCCTCTTATTAAAAAACAAATAGAATTGATTTTTAAGTTTTAACATAATTTTTACAATTTTAGAAAAAATTGTTCGTATTTGTTAAATGAGATTTCTAGATTGAAGGATATATAAATATCTGAGATTGTTTTTACCCGGTTATTTTTGAAGACTTATAAAATGACTTTTTTTGTTAATTCTATTTCTGAAATTTCTTTTATCTTTCTTTCTTTCTTCTGGGTTTTGTTTGGAGGTAACATCCTACAGTATTGCTCTTTACTAAAATCTCTGTCAATTTCTGTTTTTTTGAAGTGTTATAGGAGTTCTAAAATTTTCCCTGATTGTTATAATCAAGCAGTTAGTTTTTCTATCACTTTCCTTGGTGAAATATAGTGAAATAGTTTTTATTTTAACCACCAAAAATTTTCATTTTGAATTAAATCTTAATTTTTAAAGAAAGTTTTATATGGTAGTTCATCAATTAGAATATTAAAAATATCTTAAAAGCATATTTATGATATTTAAATGTTCCAATACAATATTATACTATTTTAAAATGTAATTCAGGTGTATATCTAATCCCAAATTTTAATTTCGTGGTGATATGCCAAGAATATCACTGAGAAGTATAAACACCCCATAAAGAAACTAATTAATTTTGTCGGGTTTGTTTTTAAAGGTATTAATTAATCTTCGCAACCCAAATTATGAAAATGGTGATTCTCTTAGTTTCAGGACTCATTTGGGTTTAATCCAAGTTCCTCTCAAAGTAAAAGATATCCCTGAATTGGTAAGTACAGACATTTGAAAATAAATTAGCATACTTTAGAAGACACCCATTAGAAAAATGTTCCTGTGCCATGTAGCTAAGACAATACAGTAATACTCTCATTAAACAAATTAGTAAAGTTCTTATTTGTTCCAAACATGTTTATAGAAAGAATGAGTTGATTTGCTTGTAGAACTAGAACTGAACTAACATTAATTTGTAAATGCCTTTGCTTCTTTTTTTTTAATAAATAGCATAGATTTGAGACAGATTGTTGGGAGTCAGATGCTTGATGTATGGCTACACAAATGATCAAACAAATTGTGAATTTTGTAAAATTATTTTTAAGAAAGAACCTTTTATTTAAAATAACCAGCCTTCGTGGAGCTCTGTAACATGATGAGACACCGAGGGAGACAGATGAATTAGAGGCTGTCTTTACTCTAGGGAGCATCACATTTCTGTGAATTTTAAAAATGAAACAAGGGAGTATTTCCAGATGGTGGAATTAAGATATTATCATTCCTTATTCTTTTGCTAATCACTCCAAAACAGTATTGAGCACAAAACTGTAATTACTGCCTGTGGAGAAACTAGAAAGCAACTTACAACTCTAAGCTTTAAGGTATTAAGGTAGAGAATTCATGATAAATGACTTAAATAAGGAGAAGAGTGTCAACCCCAAATGTCTCTAGAACATAGAAGGCATGAATGAGAAGTGTGCTACTAATCAATTTAATCTTTTAGTTCCACATCCATGCTTTGTACTTTGCTTTATTATAATAGAGGTGAATCCTATAAATGTCGTCACTTTGCCAGCTGGCTTGACATCAGGCTTTATCAATAGAAGATTCTAAGAGACTCTGTGTAGCAGGAGCAAGGGCTTCCCTCTCTTGTCCCTGTGTATAGGAAGGAGCACAGAAGCATGCCGGAAGCCTGGTAACCAATCTCCCTAGAAGTACTCAGTGGTCCTGCTCCAGCCTGGGTTTTTGGCAGATTTTTTCACTATCCTTGTGCATGTTCCTGTGTCAGCCGCTTTCTCTCCATATACGTAAATTAAAGGAGTCTCAGTAGAGTAGAGAGGGGCCTGCACCTCATATAACTGGGATCCTTATAAGAGGAGGAAAAGAGACACTGAAGAGAGCTACACAGGGAGAATGCCACAGGTCAGTGGAGCCAGACTGGAGTGACAGTCTGCAAGCAAGGTATACCACGAGATGCAGCAACACTAGAAGCCAGGAGAAATATAGGAACAAATTCCCCACTAGAATCTTCAAGAGCGTGGCCTAAAACCTTAGTCTTGGATTTCTTGCCTTCAGAACTATAAGAATAAATTTCTATTGTTTAAAGACACCCTGTTTTTAGTACTTTATGTATAGCCGCTCTAGGACATACATATATATGGCATGTCTCTGGAACTTGAGAATTCTAACTATAATTTTGATAAAAATTAATTTACAAGTTATCTTTAAAATGTGTTTCGAATCTTACAAATGGAGGTTGATACAAAGTGCTATGGGTGTCCAGATGAGGAAGTAGCAGTTTCTTCTGAAAGTGGTAGAAGTCTTCTGAGAAATTCTTCTACTCGGACTAGATCTTGAAGTAGTATGCTAGGTAAAGAACAGGGAAAAGATAATTCAGGTAAAGGTGCATGTACATAAGTGGGACTACAGTAAAGGGTGCGTAAGTTGATATGAGTGTATTCTTAGTTACTGTAGAACCAAAATCTTATATGGCTAATTTTCAAGAAATTATGTCTGTACACACCAAGGGTCGTACTTCTTTTCTTGTCCATTCATGAGGAATAGTTGTCCCTACCTCCCCTGTACCACGTTGCTTGGAGATGCGATGATCGTGACTCCAAGATGCATGGTTTATCTGTGTCCCTGGTCTGTCTGTCTGGGTATTTGCAATATTTAATTTATGTAATTGATTGAGCTTGGTGGGGCTCAGTGAATTCTGTGATTCAATAATGGAAATTCCTTAAACCTAGTCATAATGTTAGGTAGTCATAATACAGGGAAATTTCTTCAAACTGAGGTTTCATTAGCTTTACGGTGAAATTTTGATGCAATCGTATGGAGGCAGCAGGTTGGCACTAGAACTCGGCAGTATGGTTCAGTAAATGCCCTTTGCTATGGAAGGTACTGTGATACGAATGGGGCTTGCGAATATGTGTAGGAGACTGTCCTTATCTTCCAGCAGGTCCAGGCTAGTGGGAAGATGAACAGCAGGACAGTTTCAGTGTGTTTATTTGATCATGTGTGTGAATGGAAGTTGTGAATAGGTGATAATGTATACATGTTAGTGTTGCTCTGTCTTCTTGGAATATCAAGGAAGGCTTCCCAGGAGGTGTGGCTAGAGATAGATTTTGAGGGGAGTCTGGGACTAGGCACATGTCAGCTGATGTTGCATAAGAAATAGTCCAGAGCACTGAGTTAGAAGATTATCTTCAGCGTTCTATTCATGCTTCTCAACATGCTTTACCAAAAAATTCTCCATTTGATTTCAGAACTTAATATCAAAATGTTTATTGATACTGAATCTTTTCCATAGTATGAGGATCAGTGTTTTTTTAAAAATGAAATAATCATTAAAAATCTGATAACTTAAGTGAAATAAGAGTGTCACAAAATAAATAGAAGACAGTGATTAAAATGGAAGAATCATCCTAAATTGCTTAGTTATTAAAATTAGCAATGTGAGACTCAGTTCCTTAAGTATAGATAAAAGCAACTTCAGTTAAAAATTGAATATAATACTTAAAATCAATGAAAATTAAATATATGTGTATGTATGTGAAGGGCATTAATAAATCATTCATTTAAATAATAATGGATATTTAGGGAAAATCAATAAAAATTAAATATTTTTAATATTGTGTATGTGTGTGAAGAACATTAATAAATCATTAACTTAATAATAGATATTTAGGGAAGATTAAAACTAATTCCATTTCAAAGGGAAAGGAAGTATGGTTTTAGCAGTTAGAATGGTAACAAACCACTGATGTTAATATTCATAGAACTATTTAATTACTTAAGAAATACAAATAATAAAACTAATATGGAGTCATATTAGGTGCTTTAAAAAGTACTAAACAAACATGGTTACTTTTTCTCTAGATGTTAATAGGTCAGTAGAGGAAGTCTGAAGACTGTATCTAATTTATTCTTTATTTTAGCAAAGCATTTGATAATCCAGTTTCACTTAAGAATTCATTTAATTTGTATTTAGTTAGTTTAGAGTGAGTAAAATAGCATGTCATAGAAATCACAGATGCTGGTTTATGTTGATAATTTTAGACAGTGATTTCAGAAGATAAAATTGATAGATGCTGCTTATTCCTCAAATATGTGTGTAAATGTATGCATGTTCATGTATATATAGGTTTTAGGAAAGGTTCAAATGTTACTAGTGCTCTACTGAAAAGAATAATTATAATTTCTTACCTCACTGACTGGTCTGCTATCTAAAAATGCAAAATTAAGAACAGTTTCTGGAAAACAAAAATTTTTTTAACAAAAGCAACACTCGTGTTCATCAGAAGACATCAATGTAGGAACATTTTATGTAGGGAAATGAGGAGAAATAAGAATACCACTAAATGCTCTACAGATGGAGAAATACATTTTTCTTTTTCCATTATACTGTTTTTTCTGAATGCCTATATCTTTTCTATTCATATTTATTTCACATGAAAATATTAAAATATTATATAGTAATATCTATAATGACAGAAATAGAATTGTTTTCCTTGATTTTGGACTAATGCACTACTATTTTGATGTCTACTGATATCTTTTTCTTTTTTAGATATATGAATGAAACAAAGATTCATTTTACATTGTGAATTTTAATTAGGCTGATGTTTAAGTGAAGAAACCTTTTAATGTGTACCAAAGCCTGAGATGTATGTTAATTCCACATATGTTATTTTTCAGAAAGAATGCTTTGTAGAGCTTGGCTTAAATACAGGACAACTGGGTATAGATGATTCCACACAAGTGCCTCCTGGTTAGTATTTCTCCATGTGACATATGATTAATAAATGATAACAGTGAGTGTAAGGTTTATCTTTCTATTTCCAAACTTACCTAGTAAATTTTTACAGTTGAAAATTTAGCATTTTATAGTTGAAAATTTAGCATGCTTACTGTCTGCTTACTGTTAATTATTTAATAAGATTCTATATATTATAATTATCAAAGTTTTCTCTTTTTTATTCAAAAGTGTTAAAATTATTTCAAAAAGTGTATGTATATGTTTTGTTGCCAGACTTTCCACTGGCATCATTTCTATTTCCCTTCCTGTACAGTGTCATCAGTTTTCATGTTCCAGTCACCAAGCCAAATGAACACTGGCATCTCCCTCAAGTAAACTTAGGCTTATAAAGCACGGTCTTTTATATCTCAATCATTTAGGCAGTTTTTCTAGCTTTTCTCTTTTCTTGCAGAAATACAACATACTTTTCATAAAAGACCTAAGTGGTATTTAACTGTAATAAGAAGGAAAGAAAAGTCAACTTAAAGTATGGGAGACCAGTATTGAACTGAAAATAGTACTAGATTGGTTAGAGTACTTACTGTTCTAGTCTTTTCCCTGTCATGGATGGTTATGTGAGTTGAACAAGCTGCACACATCTTTGGGTTTTGTCTTCCTTTCTCATTGCTAAGGCAAAATAGTTAACACCCAAAGTTAAAAGAGAAAAGTTTTATTTCAGCTCACAGTTGGTAGAGGTTTTAGTCCATAGTCAGCTGGTTCCAAGGCAGGGTGACATGGCAGAGGAGCAGCACAGAGGAAAAAGTTTTATGGCATGGCAAGCTGGAGGCAGGAAGCAGCCAGCAGGCAGTTTGTCTTTACCTAGTATGCCATCCAAGCTACCAGCCTGGCACCCAGAACTATGCTAATCCAGTCAGTGAACTAATGTAGGATCATATACCCATAATCCCAGTATTGTACATCCTACATCCAACCAGCTCTGAAAAACCCCACCTGTGATCTCACGAGGTTTGAGGGAACATGCAGATACCAGCCATAGCAGACTTTTCTTCCCTAAGGATGTTTGCTATTTTTTATTACTATTATAAAACTAGTACTATATAATTATCATTATTATTAACATATGATTAATAATAAATGTCTAGCACATACTATAGTACATGCATCTCTTAGCAGCTCTTAAGATATATATTATCAGTTAAAAAACTTTATTCACATACAGTTAATATAGAAAAATACAAATACATACAAGTATGATTGAAAACTTCAGTGAATGTTTAAATTTTAAACACTTATCACAATAAGCAGGTAATATTGTCAGACCCCACAAAATGCTCCTCCACTCTTAAAGCACACTTCCCCCATTGCTCTTGCCCATTTCTGAAGTAGTTTTGGAAGTCTTCTTTCACAAGTGACTATAGTTGTGCTGTCATTGCTTCCTTGTCCTGAATCAGTTCAAAGCATTTACCTTTCAGGGTCATTTTGACTTTGGGAAAGAGCCAGAAGTTGCATGGTGCGACCCATGAGTAAGGAGGACACAGACACACCATAGTGTTATGTTCCTTGCCTCTGGACAGCACTGGACAGCATTCTGTGCATTTTTTACTGCACCTCACAATGACATCCACAAAAGTAGACTTCAAGAACTGCTTCAGGAAGTGGCAAGAATGATGGAACAGGTGTGTTCACAGCCAGAGGGAGGATGTTGAGGAGAATTAATAGCAATGTGGCTTTTACATTTTAAAAATTTAAACATTGATAGTATATTTTGATCATAACCTTGTGTGTCATAATATGGAAGAGCTCCATCAATTTTTATGTTTCAAATACATCTATTAAAATATTACCCAGAATAATAAAACAGAAGCTCCCTTTCTAGTCTCCTTCAGTCTTCATCCTTCATTTCAAAGACAACCACTATTCTGATTTCAGGCAACATAGATTAGTTCAGCCTGAACTTGCATCTCTTATGAATAGGAGCACAGAGTGTATCTCTTCCATGTTTGACTTTTTGAGAAATTCAGCTATATTGTTATATTTGCAGATGGTTTTCTTCTGTCCATGCACATCACACATTTATCCACTCTACTCTGATGAGTACCTGGAAAGTTTCAAGTTTGAGGCTATTACAAAGGAAGATACTGTGAGCATGTGAGCAACAGCATATGTATACTTCTAATGAATATGGACCTGGTAATGAAACTTCTTGGTTCTAGAAGAAAACTTTTATTCATATATAATTCATATAGAAAAATATATATGGTCAGCTTTAGTAGATAACTGCTAAAGCATTTTCAGGGTACCACTTTATTCTCTCACCAGCAATGCATGAGAGTCTCAGTTGCTGTACATCCTCTTAAATGCAGCCCTTCTCTGTGTTAGTCTTTCTGGTGGTACATAGTGGGGTTTCATTATGGTTTTAGTTTTCTTTTATGATGTGGTATAGCAGTATTGCCACCTTTTTAAAGGTGAGGTATAGATGTGAAATACAGTATCTTGTTCAAGGTCACAAAATAGTAAGTGGTAGAACCAGGATTCAAAACTAAGCTATCTTCAATAAATAAATTCAGTAATGTGGCTGGATACAAAATCAATACTCAGAAATCAATAGCATTTCTATACACGAACAACACAATCACAGAGAGGGAAATAAGAGAAACTGGACTATTCACATTAGCAAGCAAAAAAATGAAATACTTAGGAATTACTCTTACGAAAGAAGTGAAAGACTTATACAGTGAAAATTATAATACACTGAAAAAGGAAATTGAAGATGATCTCAGAAAATGGAAAGACATCCCTTGCTCATGGATAGAAAGAACAAACATTGTGAAGATGGCCATTCTCCCAAAACTGTTATACAGATTCAATGCAATCCCAATAGAAATACCATCAACATACCTTATAGATCTAGAGAAATCACTCCTAAATTTCATCTGGAACCAGAAGAGACCTAGAATCGCAAAGGCAATTCTAAGCAGCAAAGACAAAGCAGGAGGCATCACAATACCTGACTTGAAGTTATACTACAAAGCAACAGTAGTAAAATCAGCATGGTATTGGGATCAAAACAGAGCCGAAGATCAATGGAATAGATTAGAAGATACAACCACAACTACAAACACACTCAACCACCTTATCTTTGATAAAGGAGCCAAGCAGTTTCACTGGAAGAACGACAGTCTCTTTAATAAATAGTGCTGGAAAAACTGGCTCTCCATTTGCCGAAAACTAAAGCTAGAGCCATGTCTATCACCATGTACTAAATTAAAATCTAAATGGGTCAAAGATCTGAATATTAAAACAGAAACACTAAATCTATTGGAAGACAAATTGGGTAGAAACCTTGAAGACATAGGGGTAAGTAGAGAATTCATGAACAGGACTCAAACCGCACGGGAAATACTTCCCAGAATCAATAACTGGGACCACTTCTTATTAAAAAGTTTCTGCATGTCAAAAGAAATCTCCAGCATAGTGAAAAGAAAACCCACAAACTGGAAAAAGATTTTAGTGAACTCTCTCTCAGACAAGGGACTCTTGTCTAAAACATACAAAGAATTAAAAAAACTCAGACCTCCAAAATTCAAAGATCCAATCCAAAAATGGGCATCTGAGATGAATACACAATTCTCAGATGAAGAAATGCAAATGACAAATAAATACATGAAAAAATGCTCATCATCATTGGTCATTAGAGAAATGCAAATTAAAACCACACTGAGATACCATCTCACTCCTGAAAGAATGGCCAGGATCAAGAAAACCAACAACAAATGCTGGAGAGGCTGTGGGGAAAAAGGAACTCTCCTGCACTGCTGGTGGGAGTGTAGACTGGTACAGCCTTTGTGGAGATCTGTCTGGAGATTTCTCAAAAAGTTGGGATTGGAAATCCCATTTATTCCAGCTATTCCACTTCTAGGCATATCCCCAGAAGAACTGAAAGCATCATACCACAGTGATATATGTGCACCTATGTTTATAGCAGCACAATTTGTAATCGCTAGATCTTGGAAACAACCCAAGTGTCCATCAACTGAGGAATGGATAAAAAAGTTGTGGTATTTCTATACAATGGAGTATTATTCAGCTATAAGGAAGGATCACATTGAGATATTTATCAATAAATGGGCGCAGCTTGAGACCATACTCATAAGTGAAATAAATCAATCTCGCATGTGTGAATACCGAATAGTTTCCCTAATGTAAGTAATGATTCAAATATATAAAAATATGTGGTAATCATGATTCCCCATTATGTGGCCTTGAAGCCTTATAAAGTTTTCACTTATTAATTAGAAAGGCTTTATTCTGGGCTCCTTGATATGGAAATATTTGAAGCTATAGTATATGAAGTTTTATCCAAATATTTCAAGGAAAAAGACAGACACTATGGTAACTACTATTAAATCGGGTTATTTGGTGGTGAAGCACTAGGTTGCTGAAACAGTCATGCTGTGACCTCTATTGTTATATTGTTATGTCCTGTTTTAACTCAATCTCTCCCTTATTCTTTAAAAAAATTATTTAGTTATTTCTTATGTTTGTTTTAATTAAGGGGAAAAATTTAAAAAATTAGGATATATAATAGTAACTCTTTTTGATTTCCTATTAACTTGTTTTGAAGTCCTGTAATACTCCCACGATCTTGTTTTGACTGATTAGACTCTGTTCCATTCTGTATGATAGTATCAAGTTTGAGGGCATAGGCAACTACTTTGAAGGTAGTAAGATTCACTAAGATGCCCATTCTGCTTTGACTATTGTCTCCTTTGGAAGTCCTGTGATGTTTACAATGCCTAAGTTTTATTGGTCTTGTTCTCTACTGTTTTGTCCAATTTTATAATATCTAATGAGATAGACAAATCTTTTTAAGGAAACAAGAGACAACGTTGATAACCATTGTTGATAACCTTGTACTCTGTTCTACATCATGTGCTATGTCTATCCTTGGTTTTGACTGACAGCTTTGTTTTGCCATATTTGACTTTATTCTCCCCCCCCCCAAAAGTAAT